AAAAAGTTTTATTCATTAGTAAAAATATATCTAGACAGTTGGTGGGGACTTGTAATTCGTCAGTTGTCTATTAAATTATTTATTAGTAATATGAGATGTATTTACCCAATTTCGTTTAAGGCGATGAAAGACTGGTAGAAAAAGAATTTTCAACAATGATATGAGTTGAGCTGACGTTTCCATTAAATTTCACATAGCCTTGCTTTCCAAAAAGTTGTTCTCATACAGGGTGGACTGCAGTTTCGACCTCGTTAGGTCTTATCAACACCCTCAGCGGGAGTCGAACAGCGACAGTGCAGAATGGGAGCTTGACACGCTAACCACTTGGCTAAACTGCCACAAGCGCCTTTTGGGTCACAGGGAAAATGTGAATTTTCAAGGAAGGCCAGGCCTTTTGATATATCATATTCTTTGGTGGGCTTGTTAATGAAGCTATAACAACCGACTACTATACTTTATTTTTCGAATTAAGCTTCATCGACAATCCTACCAAAGAATATGATATGGCAAAAGGCCTGGCCTTCCTCAAAAATTCGCATTTTCTCTGTGACCCAAAGGAACTCGTGGCAGTGTAGCCGAGTGGTTAGCATGTCAAGCTCCCATCCTGCACTCTCGCGGTTCGACTTCCGCTGAGGGTGTTGATAAGGCCGATGCGAACTCGAAGCTGCAGTCCACTCTGGATGATAACAACTTTTGGTAAAGCAAGGCTATGTGAAATTCAATGTAAACGTCAGCTCAACTCATATCATTGTGGGAATATTCTTCTTCTATAGTCCTTCATCACCTTAAACTAAATTGGGTAAATACATCTCATATTACTGATTTGCTGATAGTCACGAAAACAATACTTAATTCGAAAAATAGTTCTTAGTAATAAAAAAATGAATCCTTTCCTTTGTTACAAACAGCATCAGACAGAAGGTAAAGAAAATCAGTGTATAATGAGAGAGAATATACATTTGAACACTATTATTGCTGCAAATGAAGGCAGCTTAGGTACATACTTAAAGGATTTCAAGGAAATAAATAGAGTAGATTAAATTAAGTGAGTATTTTGGTTGCGTTGTCAATGAAGATACGCCCTGGTAACGTTGAAATAATACGTTGCATTAGCCTGGTTCAATTTTTATTCAGTGTACTGATGA